AAAGTGTCCTTATATTAATTCAGATGCTGTTAGATGTACTATAGTTCATCATTCAGTGTTTCATTTCTTGTTTTGCATGGCTTTTATCTGATAAGTATGTACTAGCCTTTTTAGTGTTTTTTGTAATTATTTTAATTATGCTTTATTTGTTCATCAGTTCCCAGCTTTCTACTCTTCCTTATATTTAAGCTGTTTTGCTCTTCCTACTTCATGCTTGCAAATTTTTACCATTATTACGCATGCCACAGTTTCTTGTGCTTTGCAAAGATTGCTGCTTCTCTCACTACTTCTTCATTTTCATTCTTCTTGGTAACATTTCAACAAACAGCATGTGTTTGCATTGGTTTAACAGATGAAAATGCAAATGTAGGCCCTCTAGATATCCAGTCTGTGGAAGTGATAGTCAGGGAGTGATGTTTTTCCTGTGTATGCATCTTCACTCTTCAAGGGGAAGGAAAAGGTAAATTTATGAATTACAGATTACAAAAGTTTTTTTTTTTCTTTTTCTTTAAAAACTATTAGATACAATATGATCTTTGAGATGTTCTTTAGTTTAGAAAGATCTACGAATATATAACAGAATGGAGAATGATATTTGCTATTTTTTTACAGGCAAACAAAAACAAGCACCAACAAAGAATGGGCCTCCGGCCAAGAAGAAAAAATAGAGACCTAGAAGCTTCATCTCTTCAGAGGTTAATTGAGGTGACATGAATATCATGACAGTCTTCCCTTATACTAGGAAAGATTGCTTTATTATGTTGGAGATACTCTTACCAAAAATAGAAGATCTGTTCTTGTTAATTCATTAGTGTTTTCTTTTTCTGCAAATTGCAGACTAAATCAAAATCTAGATTTAGGTGACATAATTTAAGGAAAATTGGAAGGGTCTTATGGAATAATTTTCACTGTTATGACAGGGTCTTTTTTGAACAATTAGGGTGACCCTAACCCAAAGTGTACAAGAGAATGTGTTCACTGTAGTATTGTTTTGTGAAATCTCTGCACAGAGATAGCTCTGCCAATGTTTTGACATCTCTGTGTAAATAAGATTAATAAATTGAACTTAGTGGGCATGACATGTGTGTACATGCCATCCCTAGTGGCTTCAGGTTAATTATAACCCATGTGATGGGTTGCAAAAGAAGTGCTTTGTGAAATTGGGAAATTCTTTCAGACTATTCTCAAAAGAGGCAGGGGAAAGTACTTATTGATGTATTCTATCCTTTGTACAAAGTAATCCTCAGGGGTTTCATTATTTTGGTTATTTACGTGTTAATGTATTGTTTTACTTCGTACTTTTTTGTTATTTCTAGTAAATTATTTATTTAAAAGTGAATTTTATTGTCCAAGTTGAAATTACTGTATAACAGTGTTTATAATGATTTAAGTCATTAGATACTTTTTTTTAAAGAAAACAAGGTAAGTCTTAAGAGCAGTAGAAGATATCGTTCTGTCTTTCATTAAATACTATCATTTGTATAAGATGCCACAACCCACAGTCTGACTTAATATACGGTAAGTCCCCAACTTAAGAACATAATGGGGACCGAGAGGCTGTTTGTAAGTTGATTTGTTTGTATGTCGAAAGTCGGGTCTCCATTACCTTTTTTTCCCATTGTTTTAAAGTTTTGTTTACATTAAGAATACCTGTAAATAAATCCCAATAAGTACGACATACCTTATACAGTATCAGACTCTTGAACTATATTCGTGCCCGGGAAATTTGAAGTTTGCTAGCATCTTTCAAACAATTTTTTGAACGTTAGTACTTAAAAAAAATTGTATGTATGGAATGTTCATAAGTAGAATGTTCTTAAGTAGGGGACTATCTGTCTATAGTTTTACTCTTCTTAGTCATTATGGGGATCCAGATAAGGGAACAATTACCATAACATTACCAGCATTTAAGTATCTATATCCATTAATATAGTACGATAAAATTGTAAATTTAAAGGAAGACATTTTTATTTTGAAGCTTAAACTATTTTTTATTGAGTTCATTAACTTTCCTTGTTGGCTAGGCATAGTACCGGCAGTTTGTCAGCCTTCTTGAGTCCAGGCTGAGATGAGTAAAGGTCTGTCCACAGAGGCAGGCATGGTCGATGGGCAAGTGTAAAGGGAAGAAATCGATGAATTACTTGTTTACTGAGTATGTTTCGCCGAGATCATAAGAGAAAAACAAAGAAAAAGATGACGGAGAATGAGCGAAGGGGGTATCTATTTATTTAAGAAACCAACAGTACATTGCTTAAAGGCCTGTCCACACAAGCAGGCATGATCGCCGGGCAATTGTAAAGTTGACGTCCGGGCAATTGTAAAGTTGACGTCACAGGCGAGGAAACTACATGTTTAGCGAGTTGTTTGTCCGCCGGTGACGTCATCTCTACTCCTGCACGTCGACTTGTGGGTTTTTCTACCATAGTATCAACACGGTAGAGTGTTTTCATCATTCATTCATGCCCGCCTTTGTGGACAGGCCTCACGAGGAGAGAAATGC